AGAGAGAGAGAGAGAGAGAGAGAGAGAGAGAGAGAGAGAGAGAGAGAGAGAGAGAGAGAGAGAGATGATGTTCGGGTCTCTCTCTATACATGTGTGTGTGATATCCATGCTAAAAATGATGTGAATGACACTATCTTCATGATGTAGTTGTGTCCTGGGCTGTGTGCTCTGCCTCTGCCTCCACCACCAAGGGCTCTCCCTATCCCCCTATATGATACACCCACATGGTCTGTTCCGATCTGCTGCACCTGCCACTGCAGGGCCGCAGCGCTCTCTCTCTCTCTCACTCTCGCTCTCGCTCACTCTCACTCTCCCACTCACTCTCGCACTCTCACTTCTCTCTCTCTCTCTCCCCCCCTCTCTCTCTCTCTCATGTTCTGTCCCCCTGGCTCTTTCATCCTCTGTCTACGGACAAACCTGTTAGTTTGAGATGTGTTTCTGCATCTTCACGTGCATCTTCTCGTTGCTGTTCGAGGCCGCATAGAAGTGGGACATTTGAAGTGAGTCTATGTCTGGTTATACTTTGATGATGTTTATACCTTTCAATTTTCTTTTTGTCATTAATTATGGTGTTTTTGATATGTCAGGGCGGATGGGAAGATGATGAGACAGCGGAGGATGCAGCCAGACGTGAAGCAATGGAGGAAGCTGGTGTCCGAGGAGATATCCAGGTGTGTGTGTGTGTGTGTGTGTGTTTGTGTGTGTGTAGCGTGTGTGTGTAGTGTGTGTGTGTGTAGCGTGTGTGTGTGTGTGTGTGTGTATGTAGCGTGTGTGTGTGTGTGTGTGTGTGTGTGTGTGTGTGTGTGCTGTCATGTTCACTATACACAACTCCACAAAAAAGCCATAATCCGTTTAGTTGGACTTTCATAAACTCCTCAGGATGTTGAACCTGGACGGACAGTCTGCCCAGGATGCATTTGACTGATGGATAAGGACTCGCCACGTCACCCAGATTTAGCGATACCCCTGAAAGAGAAAAGTGGTCGACTTTAATCACACCAACCCTGTACTCCTAGCACACTGTCGCTCCGAACTCCTGACAAGAATTTGTGTGTGTGTGTGTGTTTGCGTGTGTGTGTGGGTATGTTTGTGTGTGTGTGTGTGTGTGTGTGTGTCAGGGGGAGAGAGAGAGAGAGAGAGAGAGAGAGAGAGAGAGAGAGAGAGAGAGAGAGTTTATGCATTGCAGACTTGTGCTTATCCCGGTGTGCTGTTTGTGTGGACTTGTTGCTTGTGTGGTTGAAAGGCTGATCTAGGCGTATTTGAGTTTGATAATCGAGGAAGGGACCTCGCATTGTCATCGACATCTTTAACTATGGACAACAATTTTGAAAAGCTGCCGGCTTCTGTTGAAGCTGCTGTGAAGGAAGGGGATATGAATAGCAGTTTTTCTGTGAGCTATCTTGATGGCTGCTGCCGTGCAAGAATCTTTGCACTCCTCCTCCTGGAAGAAATGCCAGTTTGGCCAGAACAGTCAGCAAGGATAAGGAAATGGGTAAATACGACGTACTCAGTTGTCTTCTTCCTTTTCCTTTTCCTTTTCCTTTTCCTTGTGCTTTTTTGTTTCCCCTTTCTTCTTATGATTCCCCCATTGTGCATTGGATGAGGAAACTACCCCATTCTATGGGCCTCGCTCTTATCGCTCAGCAAATGTGCAAAATGAGGAGCGACGCTCTATATGTAGATTGGAAACCAAAGAACCTGAAATGAGCAGGGTGGACATCGTCTCACAAATAGATTATGACCCCTCGAGGAGCAGCTGTGAAAACGAGGGGATATGTTGATGCTGCTCCTTGAGTGGCAGCGTTGTTGTCGGAGAATTGTAGTGCTGCGAGGCGGACGGTGTGCACAAATAGATTACCCCTTTAGTAGCAGCTGTGAAAAAGAGGGGATATGTTCATGCTGCTCCTTGAGTAGCGGCGATGTTGTCAGAGAATTGTAGTGTGCTGCGAGGGCAACGGTGTGGATTTCGTGTACACGACAGTGCATCCAGTTGAGTGACATTCAAGAAGCATGCATCATTGATGAATATACTGTTTGAATTGTAGCGTGCTGCGAGGGGGACGGTGTGGATTTCGTGTACATGACCTTGCATCCAGTTGAGTGACATTCAAGAAGCATGCATCAGGATGAATATACTGTTTGATGATGCGGAAGACGTGCAAAGCTCTTTGGTTGTGACCCTCTCTATCGTAATCTGTAAAAAAAAATATTAAAAATAAAAGTAAAAAGCGTAAGTGCGTCGTATCTTAGCCTATTCTGATCTTATTATACTACCCTATCCAGCCCGATGTCATTATTCTCCTATCCTATCCTATCCTATCCTAGGATTCCTATCCTATCCTATTGTTATCCTATGCTATCCTATCTTATTATTATCCTATGCTATCCTATCCTATCCTCCTTTTTTTTCTTCTTTTAAGAACTAAGCTATGTTCTTCATCACTCATATACCTCATGCTACCTAATCGCTTACCTATGTCCAGTCTTTCAGTGCCAAGAGTTGCAGTAGATCCTTATCTATGCACACTAGCTGGGTCGCCTGTAAGAGTTATGGGTTGGCACCGACCTCCTCGCGTGTCTACGCACCGCAGTTTCTTCCTAACCCCGAGCAATGGATGGGAGGTGTACCTTCCCTCCACAAACCCTACCCAGGGGCGCAATCCGGCTAGCTCCACTGATGAACCTGTGGCGAGCCGCAGGAGCCTCTGGGGGTTCGCATGGAAGCTGTGGGGAACCCAACCCATCCTATCCTATCCTATCCTCTTGTACCTTCCCTCCACAAACCCTACCCAGGGGCGCGATCCGGCTCGCTCCGCTGATGAACCGGTAGCAAGCCGCAGGAGCCTCTGGGGGTTCAAATTGAAGCTGTGGGGTACCGAACCCATCCCACCCTATCCTATCCTATCCTATCCTATCCTTCTTATCCTCTTGTACGTTTTCCTATCCGTATTATTAACCTATATTATCCTCTCTCTTATATATTATGATCTCTGTCTCTGTCTTCCTTTTAAAGTTGATCCGGTCGGGTGTAGCGCTGCATCGCGGCTCATCTCGACCGGTCTTGCATATCGGCCACGCTTTGCTGTCCGATAAGCTGTGTGCATCTTCCGGGTCGATCTATGTTGTTGGAGTGGATGAACGGCTGCATCCCGAAATCGCGTTAGGGAAAAGCAGGCACACACTGGGCACGGCTGTTTTATTTATCACAGTCAATAGGCGGTCTCCGGTGCTTCACTCAGACCCATCAGACTTTGTTTTTGATAAAAGGGCGACGGCCTATGTGGTTGTATTCAAACATTCATGTGTTCAGCATGAAACGGCGGGTATGCCGCTTTCCGTCCGAGCGATGACGCTATGGACTTGTATTCGAACATTCACATGTTCAAGAACGATGTGACTGCTTCCTTTTTTTCCCCCTTTCACTGCTGTTGTCCGCACGGTGTGCTGGGACCCGCCCAAAACAGGAAAAAATTAAAAAAAACAAAAAAAAAGGGAACAGTCCTCCGCGGGCCTGGTCCCACGGCAGCTCAGGTTTGACATGGGCCCATCATATAAGACGTTTTTTTTTTTTTTTTTTTTTTTTTTTTAAACAGGTCCTTGTGGCCCTGGCTCCACTTCCATTTCGGGGAGCGTGAAATTTTATAGTATAGTAATGATTGTAACATGCTATTTGCTTCTGTGTCTTTTCTGTTGTGTCACACAAAGAATACGTCGCCCACGACGAGTATGTATATGCTCAACCAATGCCTGTGTTGGTGTTCGTTAGTTGTTTTCTTTTCTGAAGCGGTTGGCCCCTGACGTCGATGTACGTCCATCTCATTCTGCCAGGATTTGAACTCGTGATCTGTGCACCTGCAATTTCATGTTGCCACATGGGACACTGTCATGCTGGTTGTGCATTTGTGGTTCTTCTCATCACCTTTTTTTTTTTTTTTTGGTGGTGCTTTTCACCTCGTCTGTTCCATTTATGTATATTTTCTGTCATGTGGCGAATTGGTGTCTGCAGATGGCGATCAGTGAGGCAATGGAGAATGTGAAACATGAGTGGATGCGCTCAGCACTTGCGCATTTTCGCAAGATTTTGCCGAATCTTCATGCTATGCGGTCGGGAAAGTCGTATCCGTCTGCAGGGTTGCCTTCAGCGAACCAAGTTACGCAGCGGCCGTGCCAGTGTTCGACTACCATGTCGTCGAATTCATTGTCGTCTGCACACAATCCGTCATCATCGCATCCATCTTTGTCACTGTCACCGTCATCATCGGCATCATCCTTGTCGCTATCTGCGTCATCGTCTGTTTCCTCGTCAACTCGTTCTTCAGAATGTTCAGTTGCTGCTCAGTGCAACAATCTTCCGCCTCATCTGGCCAGCAGGTCGAATTCGTTGGCATCATGTGTGTCGACTCAACCCTCGGCTTCTCTATCTCAGCTATCGACTTCATCATCCCTGCTCTCGCCTTCTGGCAATTCCCTGTCCTCCTCAAGCTGTGCATCATCATCATCATTATCTTCAGCTTTGACTTCCTCGTCCACCCATTTGGCCTTAGCATCCTTGACTCTGGGGTCAACGCGCTTGAAAATCACCTCCCCTCCGAAACAGCAGCCGCAGCCTTTGCATCGACAGCCTTTATCGCCGACAACGTCACCCGCGTCTCCGCCTTCACTTTTCGTATTCCCGGGCTCTCCTCATCTTTCACAAGGTTCAGTGGTAGGTCTGAAAAAGCATGTGAGCGGTCCTCTCGCAAGATCCCGTACGAATCCAAGGTCTCCTCCTCCCCCGGCACCGTCGGCGTCCATGCGCCCCGTACGGAATCTATGATGACATTAGCATCATCATCTTACTAGTGGAAACAGTGAGAGCAGGCTTCATAAAGGCTTTTATCTCCATCAGCAATGTTCCCTCTGGTCTCAGCACCGGGCCCTGCTGGGCTAACATTGTGCTCTAGACTGGCATGAACCTGCCCTGCATTTGGACTGTGTCCATGCTATTGTATTCAGCCCAATCATAGCCCAGCGCAGAGCAATCTATAGATTCCTGTCCTTTTGCGTCTTTTCTTTTGCCCTTCTAACCACATGTCTTTGTCTTTCGTCCAAATTTTGTTTTCAAAGTACTCCATTCACAAAGTTTCATTTGCGTTTCTTTCTGCGACTCGTCTCCACCCTCCCTCCCTCCCTCCCTCCCTCCCTCCCTCCCTCCCTCCCGCCCTCCATGTCAACGCCTCTCTGCGCAATGGCAGGGAGAGTGGATTTGTCAGCTGTGCTTGACAGAGGGGTAGATGGGTAGTGCAATGCACTCGGCCGCTCTCCCGAAGAATTCAGCATCCTAGTATCCTACAGGATTTGAACCTGTGACCTTCACCTTCCCATCAGCTGGTTGGAGATGTGATGAACCCGAGTTCTTTCAAAAATGGCCCTTCCTCTTCCTGATTATCGAGGAGCCGCAACATCCCCACGCTGGCTCTTTTCGAATGGAATGTGACTATGACTGCGGGCAGGTGCGTCGCCGGGTGGGACTCGTGCAGACGGCAGTAGTGTTCCTCTCTTGCCAAACTGCTGTTCAAGTGAAGTGAACAATGTCAGAGTCAGAGTCCAGGGTGAGTAGATGCAGCGCTTTAGCCGAAGAGCGCCCTGATTACACTCAAGGGCGTATTCGTCGTACTAGCAATTTTTTTAACCGAATGTGACTGTTTTTGCCGTCAGGTGTGTCCAGAAAACAACTCTGGATGCGAGTGTGCCCTTAGCTGTCATTCGATATGCAGTGCCCGGCTGTCCTGATATGGACTTTGTCCTGTCTTGTGCTGTCATCTGATATGCAGTGCGAGGCTGTGCTGGTTCTGACTACGCCCTGGCCAGCGACGTGGGATGATGCGTGAATTGTGCTGATCGAGCATATACTTAAACCCTAGAGACAACGCCGATTGAGACCATCTGGGTGGCGTATGATGCTAGTGGCCTGGGGCCATCTTGGCCCATGCTTCTAGTGGATTGGGCCATCACGATCCTTGGTTCTAGTGGATCAGGGCCATGTTGGTTGATCAATCTAGGCGGATCGGGATATGGTTCCTGGACAGGGCAAACTAATTGGGGTACTGAACCACGCCTTATCCGCGAATCGCTCAAGTTCGATGACGTAGTTATCAGGGAATGCATAGATTTGATTCTGAGTTTTGCTGTATGGACACAGTGATTCTCTTACAGATAATAAGTGACTGGGGCTTTCGACGCATCAAGAAGAGATGAGATTTTTGCGCAGGCGGTGCATCCCTGGAGTCATGTCACTGAGATCACGGCTTCGATTCCCTTGACTGGCCTGAAGTCCAGTGCATGCAGACTGCCTGTGCTTTCGGTGAGCGGTGAGAGTTTTCAGCCTTTTCAGCACTTCCAGCATTATGATCATAAGTAGGGTCCCAGTTCCAAGCTCCAAGTCCCAAGTCCTAAGTTCGAAGTTCCAAGTTCCAAGTCCCAAGTCCCAAGTCCCAACTGTATTGGGACTTCTCAAACTGTCCTGATGTGTTCGGGTCCTGGTTCCAGTTGGCAGTTGAAGTGTTTTGGGACAACCCAGATTATCCTAATGATATAACTGATTGGTACATAACGCCGTCTCCCCTGATAGAAGCTGTAACGAGGCAATGATTGAGGTGTTGGACCCGAGAATCGCCTTCCTTTTACTTGCACGCACACGTCGCTTTCTCTTACGCGTACTCGTCGCCCAGTGTGGTGCTTCCTCCATCCAATCTATGCGTACACATTCCAATGCAGTGGTGCTTCACACATAGACGTGCCCGCCCTGGGACGAAGAACTTTCTGGCCTGGGCACAGGAATTGCCTGCCTAGGACCAAGAATTGCCTTCCGGTTTATATGTACACATTGCGACCGTTGGGGAACAACCCGTGAAAGGAGAGTTTGCCAAGATTTACTACAACAAGGGGAGTGGTAGTTGTGTTTCGCCGTAACCTTTCTGCGGTTGCAGCGATTTCGGTTCAAGCCTTCAATTGCGGATCCGTTCTTCCAGCCAACTGTTCACTACTGCACCGGGCTTGTGCTCTGTCTTTCTCTTTCTCTCTTTCTCTCTCTCTCTCTCTCTCTCTCTCTCTCTCTCTCTCTCTCTCTCTCTCTCTCTCTCT